TTGCGTACAACCACAAGGCAAGGCACAAGTAGTGCCACAGAAGAGGCTAGTGGAAGAATGCAATTGGTTTGTTACAAGCTAGTCAGACCCACAAGATATAGATTAGAACTTAAAGATATTTGGCTTCAGAGTTTCCTGTGATGGAGAGATCATAATATAAGCAGATTAGAATATTAATAGGCTGAGTAATCTTGCCAGCAAATGCTGATTGATATTTTTCAATACTGCAACTTAGCCCAAGTCAGGTTTTTTTTTTTTTTTACTAATTATAGTCAAGAACGGAACAAATAATCCTTTGACATTTGAAAGAAGCTTGAAAGTTGAACTGGCTTTTGGTTTAAAATGCAGACCACAAAGGACTGTGAAAGAAAGACAATGAACAATGATGACATTTCAGTTTCTTTTTAGAGGACTGTCACACCGCCAACTGATGCTGTGTGTTTGCACATGAGTGAACAGGTATATTGTCACAGAGTGATTGGGTTTACATACTGAACAATGAGAATTACATAAATTTTACAAATAAATACAAAATAAAGTAACCCGTGGTTTTTTTTTAATAATTTGCAATTGGCTGGGTTTTTACATAAGTCATAAACCATTGTTAATAAATCATTATGATTAGCTCCTAAGCCAGAAAAAAAATTGAACTACGTTGTAAGTTAGCAGTACATGAAGCCAGTCAGCCTGTGCATGTGTGTAGTAGAAGGTAACTTGCCTTCCATGCAAGTTTGTTTTGTTTGTTTTTAATCTTTATCTCCAGAGACATAATGGGGTCTTGAATTAGTAGCTGAATGAAGGCAAAATCTGGAGTTATATATACCCATGAATCATTTGGTCTTCTTGCAATGGCTTTGGGGAATGTACTTTTGGGAATTGGTCATGCTGGCCTGAGGAGAGATGGCTGGGCTTACACAATGTCTTTTGTCAGAGTTGAGAAGAACATAAAAAGGAAAAAGATCATCATTAACATTCCTAGCAGCAAATTCTTGTCCTTGAATTTTGAAAAACAAGGTTGTTATTCCCTAAGGAATGTATACATATGGCATAATGGTTGTCAACAACAGCAGGTTTTTTTTTTTTGCACAATCCAACTTTTGTTTCCTCTGAGGCAGAAGGTGATTACAGAAAGATAATAATAATAGTAGTAGTAAAGTTGGAAGGGACCTTGGAGGTCATCTAGTCCAACCCCCTGCTTGGGCAGGAAACCCTACACCATTTCGGACAAATGGCTGTCCAGTCTCTTCTTAAAAACTTCCAGTGTTGGAGCATTTACTGCTTCTGGGGCAAGCTGTTCCACTGATTAATTGTTCTCACTGTCAGGAAGTTTCTCCTTAGTTCTAGGTTGCTTCTCTCCTTGATGAGTTTCCACCCGTTGCTTCTTGTCCTGCCTTCAGGTGCTTGGAAAATAGCTTAATTCCCTCTTCTTTATGGCAGCCCCTGAGATATTGGAATACTGCTATCATGTCCCCCCTTGTCCTTCTCTTCGTTAAACTAGATTAGATGACAGAAAACAAATAGAAGCTTTTCTGCCACTGTCTCCCTTCAACTTCTTCCTATAGTTGGAGTGTGGCTATAATGCCCTTCCCAAATTGACTGCTACTGAAATTATCGCTGTGATTTCACATCTTCTCAGTTGTGTGAATTGCAGTTGAATTCAGCTAATAGGAATATCATTATTCATAGCTGCCAAAATTTTATTTTTCCTATCATCTTAGCAGAGCAGTTGCTTTCTTTACTTAGGAAAAGTTCTCCTTGTAAAATGCAGTTGCTTCACAAAACATATCTTAGCATCATTCACTGCAAGCCCATAGTACTAGTCTCTGTTTATTTCAGATTGGTATTGTTTAGATTCATTAGAAGTTTAAGTACAGGAATATATTTGCATGAACTGTCAGAGCAGAATAATTGCGGAGAATGTACACATAGAATATAGTTGGATTCTTTTAGGTAATTATGGACTCAATTTAATTTTCTGTTAATTCCCCTCATCTTTTTGTAATGATACCTGATTTATATTATTTCACTTTCTTCAAAATATGATAATCCAATCCTGCTGCAATTGGGATCCCTCCTTCTACTCAGAATAGAATGGAGCTGGAAGGAACTTTGGAGGTCTTCTAGTCTAGTCTTCTACTCAGTGCGCACTTAGATAACTGTCCCAATGACAGCACATACACACATACATCTGGAGGTTTCCAATCTCTGACAAAACGACAGGTTTGGTCTTAAGGCCAAGATGGCCATTTGAGGATGTATCAACACTAAAATGAGTCAATAGCAATCAGGCAGTGTATCAAGGAATTCCCTGCATAGCTTAGCAAAAAGGAAGTCACTTGTAAACTTTCTATATTTAAAGGAGTTAAATAAATCCTAATGTCATAAAAGAGAACTTGAAAACTGTGATATTCAGCCATGTAAACAAAAGCTGCCTTTCACTAGAGATTTTTGAAGTAAAGCAACAAGCTTTTTTAGTTTGTTTGAGAGGTTGACCCATCTCTTCAGACTGTTTTGAACCTTCTCTGCATGAACTTTCAAAATTGCTTCCATAGCTCCCTGAAAAATTACTTTGGGTCCATTACATGTGAGGTCTTATTTATTTGTTTTCTATAGCTGCCCATTTCAACAAGCAACTCTGTGGGCAGCACACATCATAAATTGGTAAAAGCAAATAAAAAACCATTAATACAATTTGTGAGGAGAGCAACAATCAACTTAGTGAAATCATACCTCTTTTTATTTTCTCCCTGAATTATGCACAAGAAATAGAATGGTTCTTCAGCACTCAGTAATATCAGAATACTATGACCTACAGATGAAGTCACCAATTAATATCACCAAGAATGTGGTGATGAATACACTGCAGATGTAACAGAATTCTGGTTGTGACATGACTCATCCAGAATCTTTAAAGATTAGGGATACTAGAATCTCCAATTATGGACTTCCTAGATGGTTTTGCATCCAAGCATTTACCAGGGCCAACCTAGACAGAAGAATCATAGGGAGCCAGACAGCATACAAATTTAATAATAAAATAAACTGTAGAAGAACGCTACATTTGGTATTGCTGTAATAAGGTTGCGTGAAATTATATAGCTCTATAGTTCTTTTCCCATTGAATTAGGAGAAACAAATATTTAAAAAAACACAGAATATCAATCAAGTGTAATTATCTTTAAATATTCCCTATGCCTAGCAGATTAAAATATTTTTTTTACTGACAGCTTTCTCACGTGGAAACAATATCTAAATTCGAATACGCTTTTCAGACACTTGTCTGAGAAAGATAAAATTCCCAAACAGCAGACAGAGATATAATATTATATTGCAGAAACATCCATTTACAAGCATATATTACAAATTGGGAACATAACAACTAATGCTTCCAGACTTTAAAAAATGGAACAGTGTTTCTCTTTATTTTCTGAGACCTGCACTGATGATTCATTTGCTATTCCTCTGAATAAACATCTACAGTATTTCATATTTACATTTTCTTTGATTACTTTGGAAGAAAGGGGAGGAGGGAGCCAGACCTCTAACCCCCATCATTATTACTGAGCTAAAAACTACAGAAGATAAATACTATGTTCACTTTTACTGTTAACCTGGAGCAATAATAATAAAAGGGTTTATTTCTGTTTTATTTTACTCATTCATCCTATAAAAATAAGTGAAATAAGCACGCACATAACAGCCCATTATTAATTATTTGCATATGGGTTCAATTAAAATCAATATGAAAGATTATTAACTAGTTTTTCAGACTGATTTCAATGGGATTTAAGTGCAACTTTATTGTTTTATGACAGGTAGAAGTCACCTATTCCAGATGACTATGGGCAGCTTAGAATTTTAAAAGAAAAAAAAACAAACATGAAACACAGAAAAAGAACCTTGTGTGTATAAAGGGGGAAAAAATCAATATAAAGAAAAACAACCAATAGGCTCAACACCCACCCTTCCCCAAGGCTTGGCAGATTTTCACAGACATTTGAAATACCATCACAATGGAGCCATAGGCACCCTTAGAATAGTGGTGTTCCATAACAGGGGTCTGCAACCTCGACAACTTGAAGACTTGTGTACTTCAGCTCCCAGAATTCCTCAGCCAGCATAGCTGGCTGAGGAATTCTGGGAGCTGAAGTACACAAGTCTTCAAGTTGTCATGGTTGCAGACCCCTGTTCCAGAGGACCACCATTGCAATAGAGAAGGGCCACTTCTCGGATCCAGTCAAATGACACTGTTTAACAAAGGGAGCTTTGTTGAGCTTTTAAATCAAATTACTAATTGACAGCTCCCAGATATGATAACAAAAGCATCAATTCTTTTCCTTATTTATGCCACCAGCAGGATGGGCTTGATAGCATATGAGATTTCCTTATTTCCACTGAAGCAACAAAGGATTAGTGCGAATGGCATGACTGAAATGGAAAATATCTGGATCTGGAAGATTCTTTCACTCAAAGGCTAGAAATAGTTTTTATGGGAACCATTCAAGAATCTCTGAAATGTGCAATTAAACAAAATGCATGTTATGATGCTGTACACATAATTTTTATGCTATTGTGGACAGCAGTCCATGAAATACCTCAGAATGGAGGCAGTGAAATTTTGATCATAATAAAAAGTTGTGCACATTAACTAGATGTTTTTAAGAATCTGGGTCCTAGCATAGCTATACACTCAGTAACCAGAATTCTGGCATCTAACTACTATTTGGATAAGGCTGCTTTACTTAATTTCTCATTTATTGATTTATTACATTTTCATTCTTTTTTCATGATCTCTGTAACATTCCCAAAGTGTGTATGTTAAAATACATATGCTTATTCCTTCTCCATAGATAGAGATTTTAGTTAATAGTAAGTATAATAATTCTACAAAGCAAATTGTAACCGTAAAGCCACACAGTGTCAAAGCAAATGCACACCCAAAACCTCTGTCTCCAACTTGAGAACTAGCTGGTTTAGATAAGAATCAAGAGCCAGAGAAATTAGTACAGACATATTTATTATTTTTAGAAATACAGAGCATCCCTTAGTGTGTATGTAAAATATCTGCATGTTTAAGACACAGATCTTTTTGTTTCTGTGTGCTGCATGGCAAAGAAGCCACACCAACCACTGTAAAGAAGTGAGTAGTAGGTAGTGAGCAGGCGGCTGTTTTCCAATGCAGAGAAGCCACGTAGGAGCCTTAGGGAACAAACTGAATCAACTAATCTGTCATCTCGCCCTCCAAAACAGCAGGTGCCTGGGAGTCTGAGCAATGCATCGGCCTAGTAGATGAAGCTCCCAGAGGGGAAAAAAATAGCTTGAAGAGGGACAGTAGATCTGTGGCAAATTATATATGCTTCAAGCATTTCTCCAGTTATTTTTCTTTAAATAAGGAACATGTTATTTGCCAAAGCTTCTCAAGGAACAGTGAACCTGAGATGTTAAAGAGTTCCCATCTGTCCAACTAGAAACTCATAGGCTAGAAGGACCTTCCCATGAGGCAGCTTCATATTTTCACATTTTCAAGCACAATCTGAAAAGTGGGGAGGCAGATGAACACATTCTTGGCTCCTGTTATCCACAGCACCTAAATTATCTGAATTCAAATTACTCTGGTAAAGAGTACCTGGAATTTCCTGGCAGTAGACTTAATAAGCATTTAAATACTAAGTTGTAGGATCCTGTAAACTTGCCCCGTTCTCTGAATTCACCTCTTCCCTCTGGCCACAAAGACTGATCTCACTATACCTTCTTATGCAAATAAAGCACCCTTTTTACTCAGGCCTATAGATCAAGCCAGCATTTTCAGTGGCCTAAGTATATTTGACTAAATTAAGGGTGGTTTTTACTGCATCCATCCAAAACAAATAATAACAATGGTCTTAATCAGTCTGTAAAAGATGCACATATAATATTCTTGTTGGAAAAAACAGATCAATAGTAAGAACCAGAGAGATAACAGTATATCTAAGACCTTTTCAACCCCTGTTGTAAACCACATAAAAGATAGATCAACATTTAACACGGCTCAGCGATTGTTGAATTCAGCACCTGAATTCCCATTTGCAAAGACATTTAGTTGACTGCTTTTCTTGTTGAAGGGAAAATAAAAAGGGCCCAACCCAATGGTGCTTCACAGTGCTCTTAAATCCAAATTCAAAAGACTCTACATGAGAACACGCCACAACTCACTTACTTTTAGAATTTTCTGCCATTAAGATGGCTACTGGCTTCAATTAGTTTAAAATGGAAGAAACAAATTCATAGGGGAGGATATGTGGAATAGGCCAAGTGAAATATACTGGAAACATTGGCTAAATGGAACCCCTTGGGCCAGAGATTGTAGGCTACTATTATTGACTGTGAATATTAATTGTTAGGAGACAATAACGGGGGGGGAAGAATCATTAATTTTGGGTTGGATTTTCAGAAATATGTTTTGGAAATAAAAATTCAGGTACAGATTGTCCATTGGTATCATCCAGTAAGTTATTCTGTTGCATCACATAGCCTTGTGCTATCAGCTAAGGATCAAACTCAGATACTCCAATTTTGATGGAATTTTTTTTTTTAAAAAAAAAGCTTTCCTAACAACGTGCAGGCCTCTTGCCCTTTGTGCTACGAATTCTGCAACCTCTCCCTTGTTATCTCGAACTGGCTCTGTGTACTTTGAACATCACTGTACAACAGCTTAGACAAATGTTCACTCTGGGATGTAGTCCCTGAATGAATTGAAGCTGAGACTCCTGCCTGCTGAAGTTAAACTTGAATTGGCATGAATTTTAGGAATCTTTTCCATTAATTTAGATGATGCTCGCCTCTTGAAGGACCCTGGGGAAAAGTGCCCTTGCTTCATCAGCTCACCATATAGGGTGTTGAAGACCATCACAGTCTCTTCATAACTGTCCCTGGTAGAGATCTCATAGAAAGGATGCTTCAGAGCCTTGGAGAGATTTTCTCCATCCTCAAAGGTTACCATTCGGTCAAATTGTAGGTCCTTCTTGTTTCCAACAATCACAACCGGCGGTTCTCCACTAGCACTGTTCCGCTTTGGGCTAGAATGGATATGGTTGATGAGAAAGCACAGCCTCATCACCTCATCAAAGCTACACCTGTCAGTGACAGAATAAACTACTGCAAATCCATCTCCCCACTTTATCTTTTCTTCAATTTGGAGAGAGTCTTCCTCCTAGTCCAGAAAGAGAAAATACAGATCAGTATCAAAATGGTGCTTTCTCTGATGGAAGATCAGAATTCATCTACACAACTGGTTGTAACAAATACTAGTTGTACATATGAAGTCAGACAGCTCCCAGAGGGGAAGCTGACAGGGTCAGACATTCAGCGATAATCAAAGTTGGAAAGCAGAAAAGAAGGGTATCCCTGTGAGAGAGTATCCAACCTTTCTCCCACTTATTGTGACTCTCTTGCAAACTGTCTTTCTTCACAGGTTTCTCCCCCAGCCTACATTTTCTGTGTTTGTCTATCGGGGAAAGCAGGATCGGGTACATACACAGTGCAAGAAAGAGAGTATCACCACTTCCCATTCAATGCTTCTCTAAAGCAGAATGTGTGTCCCCCCAAAATATAGTCTTCATTTAATCTACTCCATTTCATTTCCCTCCCCAGTTTGAGGCTTTTAAGAAGAGTTTGGACAACCATTTGTCTGAAATGGTATAAGGTCTTCTGCTTGAGCAGGGGGTTGGACTAGAAGACCTCCAAGGCCCCTTCCAACTCTGTTATTCTATTTTTCCTCCAACACTCAGCTTGGAGGAATTACTGAGCATATTAGATGGGCCATTTGGTAGAGGATTTTTAAAACATTTTTTTCTAAGAAGTTCTTCAGATTTTGCCATTTTTCCTAGCCTAATGATTCCTCATGGTACCATTAGAGGAGACTTTAAGTAAAGTGGATGGGTGGAAATCAACAGGGCAAGTTTGCACATTACCATCTTATCCAGCTCTCCTCCTATTATATTCAAATTATCAAAATGTACCATCACCTTCTTTTTGGTATTTGCACAATGCCATTTGGTTATCTCAAGGCTAATACTTAGAAAGTGACTTTGATTATTAATAAATCGTAGCATTTCCTAAATGCAGTCCATGGATCAAGACCAGTCTTTATTAAATAAACAGAAAAGCCCTTCAATATTTGAAAAATATTCAAATAATTATTTTCTTTATCCTTCACCACGTTGTTGTCAACATCCTAATTAGAGAGGAAACTGACCCTTTAAAAGCTTATTTGCATTTTTTATGCATAAAAAGTAATAAAAATGGGCTTCCAGATAAATAAATTAGAGAAATCCTAGTATATACTGAAGGATTCTGTTAGAATCTAACAACTGCTTAACAGTATCCTGCTACCTGAGATAGACAATAATTGAATGCATATTTAATTCAAATTACATATATTTGACCTGTTACTTTAAGGATTACAGTATTTCTGCTGCCAAAATGGTAGGGCTGGGCTTAATTTAGAATAAGAAAGAACGTTCTCTTGAAATACCATATAGCATTAAAAAATGATCACCTAGGAACTAAAGTTGCATGATTTGATTTGGTTCTTTAGAGCTAATGTCATTATAAACTGTTGTAATTAATAACCTCGGTACCTGTGCCAGAAAGCCTTTGGGGCATCTTAACAAGGAACAACCCATTGATCAAAGTGCAGAGAGGCAACCTGTGTAGCCACAACAAGCTTCACTGATGTTTACAAATTCCTATTATATTTTGCCTCTCTCTATTCCAAATTTGGACACTGCAGTAAGAACTCAATAAGGGAAGTACCCTTCATTTTTCCATTTTCCTTTTTAACTTTCAACAGACAGGCATTCTTTAGCTATTCTGCCCAAAACATCTTGGTGGGAAACCATCAGATTTTAAGCCACATTACTATTGAAATCTTCCCATCTTCTAATATTTGCAAACGTACTGCTTCTTTCTGTCACATGAAGAGTTTTATTTCTAAATCCATTCTAATTTCTTACACTCAGCCTTACACAACATCTTATGTGTTCCCATTTCTTCTTTCCCCTAAAGATGTGAATATTCTGGGATTTGTTTATCACATCTTACCTGTTATTTCTTTTCTACTTACTCCATGGTTTTATCATGGTTAAGTTTATGTCTGTGACCAAAACCATTATCTATAGCAAGGGTGTCAAACTGCAGGCCCACAGGCCAGATGCATCATAGCGAAACCATGCCCACCCCATTGCCAGCAATGGCAAAAAAGTTATGATATGTCACGACACGTCACATGACATTGCACGTTTGACACCCCTGATCTATAGGGAGAAAATTCACCTCACAGGACTGTTGTTATGGAGAAAATAGGAGGAGGAGGATATGTTGGATATGTTCACCACCTTGAGTTATTTGTAAAAAATAAAGGTGGGGGAGATATATATATATATATATATTCTGAGGTTTTCGCGGGTATTTGTATGTAGGTCTTTGGTTATTCGAGTTTTCTCCCACATAAAATTGGAAGTGTCTTGGCGACGTTTCGACGAAGTCTCATTCGTCATCTTCAGGCTGGTGCTTTCGGCTTCGTGCTTCTAGGAGCAAATGCTTCGTGCTTCTAGGAGCAAATTTGCTCCTAGAAGCACGAAGCCAAAAGCACCAGCCTGAAGATGACGAATGAGACTTCGTCGAAACGTCGCTAAGACACTTCCAATTTTACGTGGGAGAAAAACCGAATAACCAAAGACCTACATATACATACATACATACATACATACATACATACATACATACATACATACATAGTGGGATATATATATATATATATATGTTTTCTAAGGTTTTCGCGGGTATTTGTATGTAGGTCTTTGGTTGTTCGGGTTTTCTCCCACGTAAAATTGGAAGTGTCTTGGTGACGTTTCGACGAAGTCCCATTCATCTTCAGGCTGGTGCTGAACGTCGCCAAGACACTTCCAATTTTACGTGGGAGAAAACCCGAACAACCAAAGACCTACATATATATATATATATATATATATATATATATATATATATATATATATTTGTGTGTGTGTGTGTGTGTGTGTGTGTGTGTGTGTGTGTGTGTTTTCTGAAGTTTTCGCGGGTATTTGTATGTAGGTCTTTGGTTGTTCGGGTTTTCTCCCGCGTAAAATTGGAAGTGTCTTGGCAACGTTTCGACGAAGTCTCATTCGTCATCTTCAGGCTGGTGTTTTCAGCTTCGTGCTTTGAGCAGCAATGTGTGGTCTTAGCTGTTTCTTCCTTTTAACTGCCAGTGGGGGTATGAACTGATTGGGTGGGAGCTTGGCTGTGTTCTGATTGGGTGGAGGTGTGTTCTGAATGGTTAGGGGCTTGGCTGTGCTCTGATTGGCTGGGGGAGTGTTCTGTTTGATTGTGCTCAGGTTAGTCTGAGTTGCAGAGGGGTTTAAGATTTTGGGCTGCCTTGCTATTTTTTGGCTTCTCGTTCGTGGTTGTGTCTCCTCGTCATGGAGGGTGTCAGTTTGCTTCATGTATGGATTGGAGGGGTTTAAAGTGGCTAATGATGCAGCTGTGGTCTGGCTTCTGGTTTGTGGTCGTGCCTCGTCATCGGTGTGGCTTTGGGTTTGTTTTTTGCGTGGATGTGTGGTGGTGACCTCCTGTGTGGTTTTTGTGAGTGTGGGTCTGGTATCATTTTGTGTGTTAGGGAATCGTTTGTCAATAAGGGCGGGTTTCCAAATGGCTGGTAGACGGGAGGTATCATCTCGCTTGTTCATGCTGTGTGGGCGTTTTTCTATCTCGATGGATTCTCTGATTATTCTGTTATTAAAATGTTCACTTTTGGCAATGGTTCTGGTATTTTTAAAGTCAATTTCATGTCCTGTGGCTTTAAGGTGTTGGACCAGGGAAGATGTTGGTTCCTCTTTTTTGACTGAGTTCTTATGTTCTTCAATGCGTGCACTTATTCTTCTGTTGGTTTGTCCGATGTATATGGTGGGACAAGTGGTGCATGGGATTTCGTATACTCTTGATTTTCTAATTCAATTTTATCTTTGGGGTTTCTAAGGATGGTGGATATTTTTCTGTTTGTGCAGAATGCTGTTTTGATGTTGTGTTTATGAAGGATCTTACTGATTCTGTCTGTGGTTCCTTTTATGTATGGGAGGAGGGCTTTGCCGTTTTCTTGTTCTTTGTCTTGGATTTTAGTTGGGGTTTCTTTTTGGATTAGGTTTGTAATCTTATTTCTATGGAATCCATTGGATGTTAGTACATTGGTGAGAGTGTGTAGTTCGGGTTTTAGGTGTTGTTCGTCAGCTAAGCGTTTTGTTCTGGAGATGAGTGTCTTGGCTGCAGAGTTGATCTGTGCTGGGTGGTGGTGTGAGAGAGCATGCAGATAGCGGTTTGTGTGTGTTTTCTTCTGGTAGATGGTGTGTCCTAGGGAGCCATTGGATTTCTTGTAGACTAAGACATCCAGGAAGGGAAGTTGGTTGTTAGCTTCTGTTTCCATGGTGAACTGTATTTTGGGGTGTAGGCTGTTGATGTGTGTGAGGAAGTTGTCCAGTTTTTCTTTCCCATGTGGCCAGATTATGAAGGTGTCGTCTACATATCTGAGCCAGAGTTTGGGTTTGTGATCCGATTTTTCTAGAGCTTGGGTTTCAAAGTGTTCCATGTAGAGGTTGGCAATGACAGGTGATAGGGGTGATCCCATGGGTGCTCCTTCTGTTTGTTTGTATTTTTG